AGCCTTTGCCTATTGGCTTAGCTTATTCAAGCCTGTCTCAAAATACAACACTGCCCCTTTAAGATATAAAAAATGCTGTTTACCTGACTTGCTTATCAATGATGCCTAGAAATGTACATGTTTTGTGCTCTTGCAGGAATCAATCACTCCCCAACTCACTAACTAGCAAAGAATATGCACAAATGTGCACACGCGGCTACATACATTGATCTCAAAACAAGCGCAATAGAATCCTCCTCCGGTCTGCTCTGCTTAAAACAAAATCACATACTAAGTCTTGTGTTTTTGGTATGTTTCATTGAAAGCGGCTAATATTATGTTGATTCGATCACAATTCCCACATTACAGGGAAAAGTTGATATTATAAACCACAGGTGTCAAACTCATTCCGCCAAGTGTCTGCGGGTTTTCGCTCCTCCCTTGATTGATTAATTAAGGTCACTGATTAGTAAAGAACTATCCTGACTAGCAGACACTAGGCCCTACATGTATTGAGTTTGACACCCCTGGTGTAAACTAACGGGGCAAACTCTAGTATAGCTCAATCTCATGTGACTCTGCACGGGCTTGTATAAATCAGCTTAGAGGAAACATTGCTTCTGAAATCCGTTGTTTTGGACTCTGCGTGCTTGGAGAGTTCTCTGAAGACCGTTGGTTCCAGACAAATATGTAAGAGAGTTGTCCAGCTCGATCTCATCTTCCCAGATTTTAATGTGAGCGTATAATCTGTGTTTGTTACTTTTGTATCTGTTATTATTGGCTATCTTTCCCTGAAAATTGCTGTCTCTATTCGTATTCAGGACATTCAAACTGCTTCTCTTTTTTCCATTTCATGAAATGCTATGGAAATACCCCACACATTTTCCCTTCCTTTCTTAGTTTGATTCCATTTAGCATTTTGCCAAAATCTTTATTATACATTCATCCTGTACATTCAGCACATTATCCTGGTTATTTCTTAATAAATCTGTTGTTTATAAAGTATCTACTGTTCTCCATGAATGCGTTGCCTTGTCATTTAAAAGTACTCATTTTTTTAAAAAAAATTTTTACTTCTTTATTTTTTTTTTATTTTTTTTTTATTTTTATTTTTTTCGGGGGGATGGATCAGCTTAATATTGCAGATAGATTGTATCTTCTATCAATGTAATTGTCTGCATCACTTCCAATCCCCCATGTTTTTTTTATTTTTTATATATATATATTCCCCTTTATTACTTTTCAACCCCACCATCCTTTCCCTACTTGGAGTAAATTAGTGAACAACAACGCCCAGGCCTCTACTTCCGGTCTATACTTACTATCTACACCTTATGGACAGAGTTAATTTTACAATAATTCTATATCTATATATATATATATATATATACATACATACACATACACACACACATACATATATATATATATATACATATATATATATATATATACATATACATATATACACATACATATCTATTTATTTTTTTTGCTCCTGAACTTCTTCTACTCTCAACCTCTCCGATCATTTTCATGATGTCCATCCGGTTTGCTTCTAAATGCCATATCTTTCTAACTGTGCTCTTTCCCAAAAGCTCCCAACATACAACCTATATACTTATTATGGACACAGTATGCTTACATTATTAGCTATCTTTGTTATTATTTGTTGTTATTTGTTATTAGTCCCATCCTTCAACTCTATTCAATACCTCCCATCTATCTCTTAACACCATCCATATAGGATTTCTATTTGCCATATATATTTCAACCATACTGTGATGTTTTACAAAAGTTCTGAACCTTTCTATTCTCATTGCTTCTACAGATTGTGAATTAAAAATAAACATTTTTGCTAAAAGTATTATTATATTATTGATTGATTGACTATGACTTTTCAGATCACCCAGTAATGCTGTCTGCAAGGTTAGTTCCAGGTAAATATTGCAATCCTTTAGCCATTCCTGGACCTGTGTCCAAAAACAAGCTACAAATGGACAGAACCAAAACAAATGATCTAATGATTCTATCTCTTCACAGCAAAATCTGCAGAGCTGGGAAGATTGTATCCCCCATATAAATAACATTCTATTGGTAGCAAGAATTTTATATAATAATTTAAATTGAAAGATTCTAATTTTTGAATCCGGTGTCGTTTTGCGTGTCAGTTCATAAACACTATGCCATGGGATCGGTACGTCAAAGATCTCTTCCCAACTATTTTGCAATCTATATGGGACTGCTGTCAATCCTTTGGTCCTTAAGTGAAACTGATATACTTTTTTATTTATCACAGTTTTCCTTAACCAATTATGTTCTTTAATGCAAGGCCGACAGACAAGTTCCTTACTTTCTCCCCCTTCAACTTTCCTCTTCCACTTTTGCGGTAAGGCTGCAATTATTTGGTTGTAATTTTGGGTAGAGCAGACATTTCCATATGTTTTTATTAGCTGCATGTGCGACATAACTCCACCAGTCCTACCGATGATATCATTTACGAAGATTATACCTTTTTTAAACATTCTGTCAATAAATATAGGTTTTTTGTCAATTAGTATATTTGAATTTAACCACAATATTTGTTGCATTATTTGTTCTGTCGTTTCTGGAGGATTAAATTGAAATTGTAACCAACTTTCTATGGCTTGTTTTAGAAATAGTGACATTTGGGAGATTATTTCCTTTTCAAATAACTGAAAGTGAGAGGTTGTAATCTGAATAAAGGGAAAAAGGCCTTTCTTGAACAGTGGGTGAGACAATCTTACTAATTTGCTTGAGAACCAGTTCGGATTTAAGTATAACTTTTGGATGACTGAAGATTTTAGTGATAGGTCTAATGCTTTAATATTTAATAATTTCTGTCCTCCGAATTCATATTCATTATATAAATATGCTCTTTTAATTTTGTCTGGCTTGCCGTTCCAAATAAAATTGAATATTTTTTTCTCATATAATTTAAAAAACTGTTTGCTAGGCGTAGGCAAGACCATAAGCAAATAGGTAAACTGGGATAATACTAAAGAGTTAATCAGGGTGATTTTTCCACAAATTGACAGGTATTTTCCTTTCCATGGTAGTAAGATCTTATCTATTTTTGCTAACTTTCTATTAAAATTTATTGAAGTGAGATCATTTATTTCCTTTGGGATATGTATTCCAAGTATATCCACATCACCATCAGACCATTTTATTGGTAAACTACATGGTAATGTAAAAATTTTATTTTTTAGTGATCCAATACGTAATATAGTACATTTGTCATAATTTGGTTTTAATCCAGAGAGGTTAGAAAATGTATCTAGATCCTCTATGAGGCTGTGGAGGGATTCTAGTTGTGGATCTAAAAGAAAACATGAATCATCTGCGTACAATGACACCTTTGTTTTTAAGCCCTGTATTTCTAATCCTCTGATATTATTATTGGATCTGATTTTAATAGCTAACATCTCGATGGCCACAATAAATAGATATGCCGATAGTGGACAACCTTGTTTCACTCCTCTTGACAGTTTGAAACTTTCTGAGAAATAGCCATTATTTACTATTTTACACCTAGGGTTACTATACATGATTTTGACCCATTTTATAAGAGATTCTCCAAAATTGAAATGCTCCAGGCATTTATATATGAATTCCAGTCGAACTTTATCAAATGCCTTTTCGAAGTCTGCTATGAATAGCAGGCCTGGTTTCCCATATTTTCCATAGTGTTCTATTGTTTCCAATACTTGCCTTATATTGTCTCCAATGTATCTTCCATGTAAAAAACCTGTCTGATTAGAATGAATAATATCCGACAATACCTTTTTAATTCTATGCGCTATACATTTTGCTAGGATTTTTGCATCACAACACTGAAGTGTAAGGGGCCTCCAATTTTGTAAATGGACTGGATCTTTATATTTTCCACTTGTATCCTGTTTCAGTAATAATGAGATCAGACCTTCTTCTTGAGTGTCAGATAATCTACCATTTACATAGGAGTGGTTAAAACATGCTAATAACGGTCCTCTTAGTATTTCAAAAAAGGTTTGGTATACCTTGATTGGTATGCCATCCAACCCTGGAGTTTTCCCGGACTTAAAGTCTTTAATTGCATCCAGAAGTTCCTCCTCTGTAATTTCACCTTCACATGAGTCTTTCTGTGTGGCTGTTAATTTGACATTATCAATAGGAAAAAAATCTCTACAATTAGCTTCAGTTAGAGGAGATGGAGGCGACTGAAAAGAAAACATATGCTTAAAATACTTTGTTTCTTCCTTCAAAATATCATTAGGTGAATTATGGGTGACTCCGTCAATTGTAACCAGTTTCATTAAGTTCTTTTTGGTAGCATTCCTATGTTGAAGATTAAAAAAGAATTTTGTGCATTTTTCCCCATATTCCATCCAGTTTGCTTTATTTTTATAATATATTACACTTGATCTTTCTTGAATAAGTTTTTCCATTTCTTTTTGTTTTTCCTCTAATTTATTCTGAGCCTCTATGTTACAGTTTTTATTGCCATCTATCTGTTCTGTTAGACTTTCTATTTCCTTTCTTAGTATAAACTCTTTTGACCTAAATTGCTTTTGTTTTCGAGATGAGTACTGAATTGCATGGCCTCTAAAGGCACATTTAAAGGTGTCCCATACAATAAGGGGATTCGCTGTACCTAAGTTATGTTGGAAAAAGTCAGTTATAAATTCCTTTGTTCTAATTATAAATAAATTATCATCTAATAGGCTTTGATTAAATTTCCAATATCCTCGCCCACGTGGAAATTCAGTCAGAGTAATGTATATGCCTATTATATGATGGTCCGACCGCATTCTGTCCCCTATCAACACTTTTTTTACTTTTGGTGCCAACGAGAATGAGATAAGAAAGAAGTCAAGACGACTAGCTAAAAGTACTCAATTGCCTTCAGATAGAATTATATGATAAGTTTTATTTATCCCTTGTTGCTAAATGATAGTTTCTTAATGACTCAGAACAAACAAGTGGTGCCCGATTAATTAATTCACAAAGACAATCCTTTACACCTGGGAAGTGCGGGAAGCGTCAAGGGGAGGGGAATGGTAATGTGAACTGTGCTGCCATGAGACTTAGCACCAGTACCTGTGGTCTCTTCTGGTGAGTGACAGACCACCTCCCCCACCACCACCACCGCACTCAGGCCCTCCAGCCAGTGCTTCAGAGGGGCCGCATCACACCTGCACTCCCATGGGTTCTGCTGCAGGTCCACCTGGGAGGAGATAATGACAAAAGGAATGTGATTGGTGCTGTACAAAATTATACATATCTGGACTTGTCCAGTTAGATGCTCTTGGATTCCCTTTACAGACAGACTGACACACACATCTGTCCCCATACACTTTACACACAAACACCTATACCCATACACACCGCCCCACAACACACACCCTGTCTGCACACACACGTAACCCCCTACAAACACCCCTCCCCATCCCTTCCTCCCCCTACCTGCACCAGTCCAGTGAGGTGCTCTAACACCCCCTCTACAGGCAGGCTGAGGAAGTGGTTGTCGCGGAGGTTAAGGCGGGAGAGGGAGATGCCCTGGAACACTCCGACAGGAAGTGACCTCAGCAGGTTAGCGTTGAGGAAGAGCAGCTGGAGAGACGGCATGGGGCTGAACACTCCCGCCTCCACCACACTGATCTCATTGTACTCAAAGTACAGGTACCTACAGGGAGACATGATCATATAGAAGCCAGGAGCGTGTGTTTGTGTGTGTGTGTGTGTGTGTGTGTGTGCATGTGTGTGCCTGTCAGTCCTACCTGAGGTTAAGAAGACCCAGGAACATGTGTGGGCTAAGCCTCTGCAGGTTGTTGCCGTTCAGGTAGAGACTCCTCAGGGTCGGCAGGCTGGAGAGCGCTCCCTCCTGGAAAACCAGACAGAGAGAAAGAGAGAGAGAAAGGAGAGAGAGTGACAAAGAGAGAGAGAGAGAGAGGGGGGGGGAGAAAGAGACAGAGAAAGAGAGAGAGCGTGACAGACAGAGAGGGAGAGAGAGAGCGAGCGAAAGAGAGACAGAGACAGAGAGGGAGCAAAAGAGAAGGTAAATACAGGGGCGTCTTGCCCATTGCGCTACAGGGCCCCTCAATTTTATCCATGTGTACGCTGTAATCTAGGTAATAGGCCTATTGTTTATTTTTTACGCATAATTAAATCATAGATATCAAACATGGCCATCAGTGCTCCCCGTGTATGAAGCCTCTGGCAAAACATAATCTGAACCCTAGGAGATCCTCTGGCTAAAGATAACCTGAATAAAGGAGATCCTCTGGCTAAAGACAACCTGAATAAAGGAGCTCCTCTCGCTAAAGACAACATTAATAAATGAGATCCTCTGGCTAACGACAACCTGAATAAAGGAGATCCTCTGGCTAACGACAACCTGAATACAGGAGATCCTCTGGCTAATGACAACCTGAATACAGGAGATCCTCTGGCTAATGACAACCTGAATACAGGAGATCCTCTGGCTAATGACAACCTGAATACAGGAGATCCTCTGGCTAATGACAACCTGAATACAGGAGATCCTCTGGCTAATGACAACCTGAATAAAGGCGATCCTCTGGCTAACAACAACCTGAATAAAGGAGATCCTCTGGCTAACAACAACCTGAATAAAGGAGATCCTCTGGCTAACAACAACCTGAATAAAGGAGATCCTCTGGCTAACAACAACCTGAATAAAGGAGATCCGGTTGTTTCCCAGGTGAAGTAGATCCAGACTGGAAAAATTCCAGAAATCTGACTTATAGATCCACTGGATGAGGTTGCCGCTGAGGTACAGCTTCCGTCCGTTGAGGGGGCGTGGCGTGAGCTGGGACACGTTATGGAAGCCCCTCTCCTTACAGTTGACTGTCAACCCTAGGTCTGGAACAATTATAGTGAATCAACTTTATTTGTACAGCTCTTTTCATACAACATTTCAGCCCAAAGTGTTTTGCATTGAGCACATATGCAAAGGTAGTCTCAGCAGTATGACATCATCAGACACAGCGGGGCGACTTCCTGTTTACAGACAACAACATCATTCAGATTTGTCACTGCTGGTGCGTAGTGCCATGATTGTCCCTGTAGTTTGTGTCCCTTGTGGCATGGCCACATTGTGAAGAGCCCAATAGTAGCAGTCTTGGCCTATTCAAATGTTGTTGTTGTTTATATCTGTGAGCAGGAAGTCACCCCGCTGTGTGTGATGATGTCACACTGCTGAGCCAAAGAGGTACCATCCAAACTGTACCTGAGATGTGGAGGTTACAGGTGCACCCCAGAGGACAGATGATGGGGATGGGGGGGCGAGTCTGGTACCCCGCGATGGGAGGGGGCTGGTTGAGGAGGAGGCTACGCTGGGTGGGGGGCGTCCTGGAGGGCCGGGGACGCTTGGTGGGCCGAGGGGACCTGTCTCTCTCCCTCCGCTCCGCTGATGATGAAGACGTTGACGAAGATGAGGTATGTGTGTTCTGATGGTGAACCATGGAGGATGGCTTGGTGGGTCTGGGCATCCCAGGGTTGGGGTTCGCTTTGGGGTTAGAGGGCGGATGCTGAGGAGGCTGTACCCCTCCTTGCTTCTCCCTCTCTCCCTCCTTCTCCTTCTCCTTTTCCCCCTCTCCCTCCACCTCTCCAGCACACAGCTCTTTGCGTGGTATCTCCCTCAGGTCTTTCCCGTGCAGGTGGAAGGGGTATTCGCAGGTGATGTCCCCCACCACCGCAGTGTAGGGGATGTGTCCCAGCCAGGTCTGCAGCTGGACAGCCTCACAGCCACAGATCCAGGGGTTCTCCTCCAGCTGGAGCTCCATCAGGCTGCGGCCCACGTACTCCAGGGTCCCGGCGTAGGCCAGGCTCTTCAGACGGTTCCCCCGCAGGTCCAGGTGGGTCAGAGACACAGATCTGGGGGTGGAAGGGATCATTAGGGCTGGGGTCAATTCCATTTCAATTCAGGAATGAAACTGAAATTCCAATTTCCACATTGCGAAAAATTGGAATTGGAATTGGTGATCATGTTATTGAAGAATAAGGAACATGATTGATACATGTTATAAATGTGATTGAAAACAACTTTTTCAGACAGTTACCTTGGTCAGAGTGAGAAACAGACCCATCATGTGGACATGGTAAGGCACGTGTAACACAGTGAAGGGTTAATAAGCAGGTAGATACCTGAAGAGGTGAGGAGGTAGAGCAGGGATCAGGTTGTCGTTGAGGATGAGCACGCGTAGTTTATGCAGGTAGCGTAGCGCCCCGCTGTCGATGCGTTTGATGACATTGTAGTCAGCCTGTAGGTAGAGGGGATAGAGGTAAAGTCAAATGACATTATGACACAAACAGGAACTCACCCGGCTCAGGAGATCACACATAACGTATTATCGTTGTCACAGTAAGTATGGATGATGACTGATCACAGTGATTATTGGTGAGGATTGATCATAGTGTTTATTGAGGGTTCTGATGGGTAGTAATGATGGCAGGCCTACCTGCAGGTACTCCAGTGCCTCCAGGCCAGAGAAGGTGTCGTTGCGGAACACCTCCAGTTTGTTCTCGTGGAGGTAGAGGCGTCTCAGTGTCCCCAGACCATGAAACGCTCCGGCGCGGATGTCCTGCAGCGCGTTGTTGCCTAGGTTTATCGCCACGGCATTGCTATGGTGCAGGAAGCCGTTGCTATAGAGACGCCTCAAGGAGTTCCTCTGCAGGTTGAGCTTGAAGGGGCGGAGCCAGGACTGGGACACCTGATTGATTGATTGGTTGGTGGACTTTATTTTTATCATATACAAATGCAGTACAGTGCAGAACAGGGCTGTTTATTAATATACTACTGCAGTATGTATATTATAATATGAAGTACATTAGATTAAGGTAATCACCTGGCTGGCGTTAGTGAAGCCCCGCCCATCACAGTGCACGTGCAACACGCCCTCTTTGACCTCGCACGTGCACGGCTCGAAGCACGGTTCGTCCACCTCCTCCTCCGAGCTGTCCACCATAGGGGTGTGTGTGGAGGTGGGCGTCGGGGTGTGAGTGTGTGTGTGTGTCGGGGTCACACACCCCAGGACCACCACAGACAGCAGGGAGAGCCACAGCATCCTGCCTCCTCTGCCTTCAGCCCAGCCCAGGGCAGCTGCACACACCCACCCCTCACCGCACTGCATACAGAAACACACACACACACACATGGCTACTGTTGAATGGAATTCTACCAAACCCACCTGAGTGATGTTAATGCATGTCCCTTTGTTTAAGAACTACTGGCACCATCGCGTTAACGTTACTGTACCTAGTACTCTGGTTTCACATCCTGGAACCACCACTTGGACAGGTACCAGAATTAACTTGGTCTTCACATGAGTGAAAATATAGTTTTATATAGTTTTATTATATAGATATATGAGTTATAGTGCTATATATATTATTATAAACTGGGTGGTTCGAGCCCTGAATGCTGATTGGCCGTGGTATATCAGACCGTATACCACGGGTATGACAAAACATTTATTTTTACTGCTCTAATTATATTTGTACCCAGTTTATAATAGCAATAAGGGCACCGTCGCGTTGCATCATGCTTAAGAACAGCCCTTAGCCGTGGTATATTGGCCATATACCACACCCCCTCGGGCCTTATTGCTTAATTATGATATAGTTATAGTTTATAGTATATATAGTTATATATAGGCGTTATAGCACGGTTCAGGTTACCTAACGCTCCAGGTTCCATACCAGACAATGACTTCAGAAAACACCCATTACATTCATCAACAAGGAACCTTCAACAGCAATCCAAATCCATTATAATAAATTAGGTTGATTACCATGATAATACAGCAAATAGCATGAGAGGGGATCTGAAGACCTCTTCGGGACATAAGAGGCTGCTTTAAAATCATAATGACAGTCAGAGCGATGCTGATGAAGATAATCAAATAATATATTAGAAACACGGGCCGGATGGATGAGAGGAGAAGACTGCACTAGAAAACAAGAGCTGCAATTTAATTCTACGCTGCCTTTCACCAGGAAAATAACATCTAAATCAGGAGTCTCTCTTTGCCTGCCTCATGTAACTTGGAGGCCACCATGCAGAAGGTAATGGGCTACTAATAAAAAATCTATAACAATCAGAAGCTACTAGCTAGTTCAGTAGTAACCTCGTCCCCAGGCTCAATTGCTCCTGCATATAGACAGACAGAGAGCCGGCCCCAGGCTCAATTGCTCCTGCATATAGACAGGCAAAGAGAGCCGGCTGGCTGGTGGACGAGATTAGTTTAGAAGCAGCTAGCACACACTGAAGAAGGCCATGATAATGAAGGTTTAAAAAAAAGAATGACAAGGTAATAATATTGATAATGCAATGATGGATAAGAGCGTCTGCTAAATGACTAAAATGTAAATGTAATAACAATAACAGCAATTACAACAATGATAGAGTAAGAATAAGGATAATGTAATAAAGGGCAGTGATAATGTAACAATAATGATCATGCCAGAAAGGGTAATGATAATGTAACAATAAGGATCATGTAATAAAAGGTGATGATAAGGTAATGATAAGGTAATGACGTGAATCAGTGGCTGGGAACACACAGCAGTACGATAAACAGACAACCTGAGATGAGATGTCAGAGAGGTGATTATGACAGAGGGATGAGAGGAAGAGGACGAGGGGAGAGAAGAGGAGAAGGGGAGTGGAAAAGAGAGGGGGCGAGGAGAGGATGATAGATATGAGAAGAAGAGTGGAGAGCAGGGAAGAGAAGAGGAGAGAAGATTGGAGGGAGGGGAAATGAGCAGAGGGAGAGAGGGAACAGAAGAGAGAGAAAAGAAGAGGAGAAAATAAGAGAGAGGACTGAGGGTCTTCTGAGAAGAGGAGGAGAGGAGAGGAGGAGCAGAATGTTATGCTGAAGTGAGAGGATTGATTGCGTAACCATGAGAAACCGTGAGTCAGTCAGTCAAGGCTATCGTGTCTCTCTTTCTCTCTCGCTATATCTCACTCTCTCTCTCTCTCATACACACGCACACAAACACACACACACACACACACACACACACACACACACACACAGGATAGCTCCAAGTGAAACGGCTCAAATCTATTGATATTGATTGTATCAAAAGCCTTCCTTCTCCCTGCACACAGTGTTCCCTGGCTGGAGAGAAATAGAAAGAGAGAGAGAGAGAGAGAGAGAGAGAGAGAGAGAGAGAGAGAGAGAGAGAGAGAGAGGGGGGGGGGGGGGGGGGGGGGGGGTTGTAGATTCAGTGGATAAATACATGCAAGTTTGTATTGGGTGGATAAATACCTGCAGGTTTGTGGACTCTAGTATCATTTTCACACTATAATTCTGACATTAAACATATTGTGCTGGATCGATAATTAAATAGCCACTATTGAAGTATTGCAATTTGGTCCTCGTTGGGGAATGACTGTCTGACCTACAAGACAACACTGTTTACCTGCTCTAGCCACTTGATTGGCTAATATCTCAGCCCCCCCTCTCTCTCCTGTCTCCTGCTCTCATTTTTCATCTCTCTCTCTCACAGAAATCTATTCATCCATCCATCCACTCATCTATCCATTCATCTATGCATCCAGAACAGGTGTGGTTAGACCTACTTTGTTTTTCGTTCGTGACTCTTCTTCCTTCCTTGTTTCCTTCCTTCCCCTGTTCTCCATCCCAAGGCCCTGGACCCTGGCGCAAACCAACCAGCAATGATCGCGGCAGCTGTTTATTACAACACATATTCATGTCACATAATCCCAGCGTCTACCTTCGCTCACGAGCCCACTGTCCAACCAGGGCCGATCCAGAGCTTTCCCTGCCTGGCGCAACCCGGCCCCTCTTCCCTAGAAACACAACGCACCATCCAAAACCAAGACTATGGAAATAGCTACATCCATCCAAGAATGTCAATTAGTAACATTACTGGGCACAATTGTAATTATAGAATTAGTGCGTGTCCAAATAGTCATTAATATAACCTATTAAGGCACTAAATCCTTGGCACTAAAGCAAACCATTTATATTCGCCTTTGTCTTCCTCCCCCTTCCCCTCCCACTAGCGCTAAGAACCATACAGCGGCAGTGGAACTGCAGAGACGCGGTCTTTACTCACTCAGGTCCCGCGAAGAAATCAACGAACAGCCGATGGGAGACTTTATGCGTTGGCTGTCGACATGCCTGTTTGCTTTTCAGCTGCACTCTTCCTTCCCTCTCTCCTTTCCTCTCCAGGAGCGGTTGAGGCGGATGGGGGGAGCAGAGGGAACGTGACAGGACTGCAATGTGGATGAGAGAGAGAGAGAGAGAGAGAGAGAGAGAGAGAGAGAGAGAGAGAGAGAGAGAGAGAGAGAGAGAGAGAGAGAGAGAGAGAGAGAGAGAGAGAGAGAGAGAGAGAGAGAACGCACGGCTTTAGAATGCAGGTCTGTCCCCTCTCCAGCGTTCAACAGTGCTGCCCGCGGGAACTCAGCTGCGGCGCGGGACTGCCACCTAACACGCACGATGCTGCGCGGATTATATTACGGAGGATGACTTGTCTCTCCATCTTTGATAACCGGGTAGCCTAATTAAAGTAAAGAAAAGGAAGTAGCCTAAAGGACAAGAAAATAAAGGAGGAATGAGTGGAGTGGGTAACTGGGGAAGTATTCGAAGAAGAAGCTGGGCAATAGGTTAGGTTATAAGAAATAGTTCAGTACTAGAGCAGTGGATCCTGCATGCAATGTAAATGTAATCGGTATCCATTGGGCTATTTGTAAATAAGGGTTTAAACGTCAAAACGGGTAGGTATGTAAAAGTGACAAAATATTATTCGTTTTGAATTATTCCTCAATCGAGGGCTGTTGACAGATGACGCTACGCATACATTAGGCTACCTAACCTGTAGGCCATGTGTATCTTCACATGCACAGATGAAAAGCACCCTACCCAGGCATTCAGCTTTACCGACAATAATTCATCATCTCATTACTTTATTCATCTCTGCTCATGCCCTTAAGCACCAACAACAGATTTCTAGAGAACCGGTGTTTTAGTTACCATGGCGACCCGCGCCAGCCGGTATCCTTGCAGCATCCTTGCACACCTCGGTAGACTGACTTATCTTCTGCTGTTCTACTGTACTGTATACACATAATCTACTGTATAGACCGGTTGTACACACAAACACACACACACTAGTTAATAATAAAAAGTGGAATCGGGCTAGAACAGTAATGTGCAGGAATGTATGGAGAAAGACTGGCCATAGTAGCCAACATAGATCAATGCTACCCCATGGTAGGGCAAGGCCTGAGTGCACTCTTCCCTCCCAGATGCTGATGAGCTATCCCCAGGAGGAGAGCCACCACCCTGCACTGTAAAGGGGTTGCCATTAATTTAACAGTAACTTCAAAGCAGCTCATTGGCAAGTAAGTTACCTTATTTCATATAGCAGTACACCTACTGTAATCTAAATACAGAATCAAAGCAAGAACTGTGTAATGACACAGTACAATACTGTAGAATTTACTGTATTATACAGTAATAAAGTAAATGCTACTGTAATCGTAATGAATGAGTGAATTAATGAAATTCATTGAGGGGAGATGGGGTTTCTAATTCACAGTATTCTATTGTAATTACATATAATCGGTGCAAGCAGGTTATAGCACGTCAATGAATATATGCTGTTTTTTATTACTTACGCTTCTGGAGGCCTTATTAAGAAAGGCTTCCAAAGTGGCAGTGACTAAAAGGCCAAACAGACCAACAGGACATGGCAGAATGCTCAACCATTAATGGTTTAATAAGAGCTGCTGCCACTCCAATTTGCTCCCTATACATTTTAAATTGATGAAGCACTACTACCGCATACCAGTTAAATTGGTACAGCATTCTCATTGACGGGTGCAACAAACATAGCCTCTGACAAGGCACGCCTCAAAATATGTTAATGAGCCAGAACAAAAATACCATGCACCCACTAGTGGTCCCCCAAAAATTTGCGCTCCGAAAATATGGTATGGTGCTGTATTCTGTGGGATGGAATTACACAACCATTTGAAATACAGCAATTCTTTCCCTGGCCACAACATTTCCCCACTATGAACCATAATTTACAGTATGCTGCAGTAAAATGTATTTTACTGTTGATAATGTCCAAAATTACTGTATAAATTACAGTTTTCTTTTACAGTGTGGGTCTAACAGCACATCACAACATGTACATGCAGGCCTGGCCTACATACCATTACAACCATTTCCAGTTCAATTTCACATTGATCTCAGCTTACATTAATGTGAATTACCTACGGGTAATGGAGTAGTACTTACATCTCTCTTTCTCGCTCTCTTTCTCTCTCTCTCGCTCTTTCTCTATGTCTCTCTCTCAATCTCCTGACAGAGATTTTAAAAAAGGGGACTCTTTCCTCGTAGATGTTTATCAGAGAGAGAGAGGGAGAGACTGAGGCACTTCCAGTAATGTCAATGTGTGTGTGTGTGTGTGTTTGTGTGTGTGTGTGTGTGTGTTAGATTATGGTTATAGATTTCAGAGCTCTCAGGTGCATTAGTGTATGATAACAGTTTTCCCACAAAGCTATAATGCACAAACAATGGAAACACACACACGTATACGCACGCGCACACGCACGTGTACGCACACACGGTATAGGGCCAGATACAGTGCATTCGGAAAGTATTCAGACCACTCGAATTATTCCACATTTTGTTACATTACAGCCTTATTCTAAAATGGATTAAATTCATTTTTTCCTCATCAATCTACACACAATACCCCACAATGACAAAGCGATTGCGAATTTATAAAAAATAAAAAACAGATATCTTATTTACATAAGTATTCAGACCCTTTGCTATGAGACTCGAAATTGAGCTAAGGTGGATCCTGTTTCCATTGATCATCCTTGAGATGTTTCTACAACTTGATTGGAGTCCACCTGTGGTAAATTCAATTGATTGGACATGATTTGGAAAGGCACACATCTGTCTGTATAAGGTCCCACAGTTGACAGTGCATGTCAGAGCAAAAACCAAGCCACGAGGTCGAAGGAATTGTCCGTAGAGCTCCAAGACAGGATTGTGTCGAGGCACAGATCTGGGGAAGGGTACCAAAACATTTCTGTAGCATTGAAGGTCCCCAAAAACACAGTGGCCTCCATCATTCTTAAATGGAAGAAGTTTGGAACCACCAAGACTCTTCCTAGAGTTGGCCGCCTGGCCAAACTGAGCAATCGGGGGAAAAGTCCTTTGTCAGGGAGGTGACCAAGAACCCGATGGTCCCTCTGAATGAGCTCCAGAGTTCCTCTGTGGAGATGGCTCCCGAGTGATGCAGTGGTCTAAGGCACTGCATCTCAGTACTAGAGGCGTCACTACAGACCCTGGTTCGTTTCCAGGCTCTATCACAACCGGACGTGATTGGGAGTCCCGTAGGGCGGCGCACAATTGGCCCAGCGTTGTCCGGGTTAGGGTTTGGCCGGGGTAGGCCGTCATTGTAAATAAGAATTTGTTCTTAACTGACTTGCCTAGTTAAATAAAGGTTAAATAAAAAAAAGATGGGAGAACCTTCCAGGAGGACAACTATCCCTGCAGCACTCCACCAATCAGGCCTTTATGGTAGAGTGGCTGGACGGAAGCCACTCCTCAGTAAAAGGCACATGACAGCCCGCCTGGAGTTTGCCAAAAGGCACCTAAAGGACACTCAGACCATGAGAAACAAGATTCTCTGGTCTGATGAAACCAAGATTGAACTCTTTGGCCTGCATGCCAAGCGTCACGTTTGGAGGAAACCTGGCACCCATTCCTTTGGTGAAACATGACGGTGGCAGCATCATGCTGTGGGATGTTTTTCAGCGGCAGGGACTGGGAGACTAGTCAGGATTGAGGGAAGATGAACTGAGAAATGTACAGAGAGATCCTTGATGAAAACCTGCACCAGGACCTCAGACTGGGGGTGAAGGTTCACCTTCCAACAGGACAACGACCCTAAGCACACAGACAAGACAATGCAGGAGTGGCTTCGGGACAAGTCTCTGAATGTCCTTGAGTGGCCCAGCCAGAACCCGGACTTGAACCCGATTGAACATCTCTGGAGAGACCTGACAATAGCTGTGCAGCAACGCTCCCCATCCAACCTGACAAAGCTTGAGAGGATCTGCAGAGAAGAATGGGAGAAACTCCCCAAATGCAGGTGTGCCAAGCTTGTAGTGTCATACCCAAGAAGACTCGAGGCTGTAATCGCTGCCAAAGGTGCTTCAACAAAGTACTGAGTAAAGGGTCTGAATACTTATGTAAATGTTATATTTCAGTTGTTTTATTTTATTTACAGAACATTTGCAAACAATTCAAAAACAGTTTTTGAATTGTCATTATGGGGTATTGTGTGTAGATTGATGAGGGGGGGGGGGAAACAATTTAATACATTTTAGAATAAGGCTGTAACATAACAAAATGTGGAAAAAGTCAAGGGGTCTGAATACTTTCCAAATGAACTGTATGCATTGATCCCCCAGGTGGTTCAGGTTACGATTGGAGTACACAGTAATCTGATCCTATATCTGTGGTTAGGGGCAAATTGTAAGACAGAATCCTTTTTTTTTTAACACTCAGTGTCCCCAAATTAAGGACAAAGTGCCCTTTACTGGTTCTAAAAGCCGACCAATCAGCTTGCTGCTGGCTCTTAACAAACCTTTGGAAAAAATTGTGTTTGACCAGATAAAATGCTACTTCAATGTGACCAATTGAACAACAGACTTTCAGCATGCTTATATGTATTTGTATTTATTATGGATCCCCATTATCTGCTGCCAAGGCAGCAACTACTCTTCCTGGGGTCCAGCAAAAATGAAGGCAGAGTATACAGTTGAAATCAGAAGTTTACATTCACTTTAGCCAAATACATTTAAACTCAGTTTTTCACAATTCCTGACATTTAATCCTAGTAAAATTTCCCTGTCTTAGGTCAGTTAGGATCACCACTTTATTTTAAGAATGTGAAATGTCAGAATAATAGTAGAGATAATGATTTATTTCAGCTTGTATTTCTTTCATCACATTCCCAGTGGGTCAGAAGTTTACATACACTCAATTAGTATTTGGTAGCGTTGCCTTTAAATTGTTTAACTTGGGTCAAACATTTTGGGTAGCCTTCCACAAGCTTCCCACAATAAGTTAGGTGAATTTTGTCCCATTCCGCCTGACAGAGCTGGTGTAACTGAGTCAGATTTGTAGGCCTCCTTCCTCGCACACGCTTTTTCATTTCTGCCCAAATAGGATTCTATAGGATTGAGGTCAGGGCTTTGTGATGGCCACTCCAATTCCTTGCTTTTGTTGTCCTTAAGCCATTTTGCCACAACTTTGGAAGTATGCTTGGGGTCATTGTCCATTTGGAAGACCCATTTGCGACCAAGCTTTAACTTCCTGACTGATGTCTTGAGATGTTGCTTCAATATATCCACATAATTTTCCTTCCTCATGATGCCATCTATTTTGTGAAGTGCACCAGTCCCTCCTGCAGCAAAGCACCCCCAAAGCATGATGCTGCCACCCCCGTGCTTCACGGTTGGGATGGTGTTCTTCGGCTTGCAAGCAACCACCTTTTTCCTCCAAACATAACGATGGTCATTATGGCCAAACATTATGGCCAAACATTTCTCCAAAAAGTTTGATCTTTGTCCCCATGTGCAGTTGAAAACCGTAGTCTGGCTTTTTCATGGTGGTTTTGGAGCAGTGGCTTCTTCCTTGCTGAGCGGTCTTTCAGGTTATGTCGATATAGGACTTGTTTTACTGTGAATATAGATACTTGTGTACCTGTTTCCTCCAGCATCTTCACACGGTCCTTTGCTGTTGTTCTGGGATTGATTTGCACTTTTTGCACCAAAGTATGTTAATCTCTAGGAGACAGAACGCTTCTCCTTTCTGAGCGGTATGACGGCTGCGTGGTCCCATGGTGTTTATACTTGCGTACTATTGTTTGTACAGATGAACGTGGTACCTTCAGGCGTTTGGAAATTGCTCCCAAGGATGAACTAGACTTGTGGAGGTCTACAATTTTTTATCTGAGGTCTTGGCTGATTTATTTTGATTTTCCCATGATGTCAAGCAAATAGGCACTGAGTTTGAAGGTAGGCCTTGAAATACATCCACAGGTACACCTCCAATTGACTCAAAGTATGTCAATTAGCCTATCAGAAGCTTCTAATGCCATGACATCATTTTGTGGAATTTTCCAAGCTGTTTAAAGGCACAGTCAACTTAGTGTATGTAAACTTCTGATGCACTGGAATTGTGATACAGTGAGTTATAAGTGAAATAATCTGTCTGTAAACAATTGTTGGAAAAATGACTTGTGTCATGCACAAAGTAGATGTCCTAACCGACTTGCCAAAACTATAGTTTGTTAACAAGACATTTGTGGAGTGGTTGAAAAACTAGTTTTAATTACTCCAACCTAAGTGTATGTAAACCTCCGACTTCAACTGTACATTATAATACAATTTTTAAACATTAAAATACATTTTACAACGGATTTCACAATACATTAACTGTGTGCCCTCCGGCCACTACTCTATTACAATACAGGGCACTCAACGTGTACTGCACTGACACAAATGACTGATGATCGGCTGAAAGAAATTGTCATGGCTTTACATCTACCATATCATGGGTTGAGAGCTATCTATCCAATAGAACAGAGGGGCTTCTTTAATGGAAGCTTCTCTAATGTAAAACTTTTTTCTTTTTTTTGTAGTGTGGTATTCCGCAAGGCAGCTGTCTTGTTCCTTTACTGTTCTCTATTTTTACTAATGGCATTAAACAAAACCTGTGGGTCTATGTATGCTGATGATTCAACATTATATTGTCAGCAACCACAGCTAGTGAAATCACTGCAACCCTAAACAAAGAGTTAGACTGTAAATTGTCAATGTCAAGGCATATTGATTCAATTGTTGTAAAGATGTGGAGAGGTATGTCTGTGATAAAGAGATGATCAGCATTTTCAACACCACAGTCGACCAAACAAGTTCTGCAGGCTCTAGTTTGATTTAATCTTGACTATTGCCCAGTGAGATGGTCAAATGCTGCAAAGAAGGACCTAGAAAAGCTGCAGCTGGCCCAGAACAGAGCAACACGTCATGCCCTTCAATGTACCCAGATGTCAATGTCAACAGTATGCATGTCGGTCTCTCTTGGCTCAAAGCAGAGGAGAGATTCTTTTTTCTCATATAGCGCAACTGAACAGCAAACCTGATTTCGAAAAACAAATAAAGCAACTCCTCACATCACAACACCTCTCCCCCATGTGACCAAATGTTTATGTGTATGTACTGACATGTATGTATAACTGATAGACAAACGCACACTTTAGTTGTCGTTTTTTAAATATTTATTTATTTATAAGTCTGTAATGTCTATGTTCATGTTTTAAATATATGTAAATTGTAAAGTATTTTTGTCTGTAATGTCTTTTTTTGTTATGTGTCAGACCCCAGGAAGACTAGCTGTCGCCATTGGCGTCGCCTGATGGGGATCCTAATAAAAATCATAAATCATAAAGGGAAGCCAACAGAGATGCTAATCAGATACCTCCGTCTATTCTCCGGGGGTAGAGCTGTGCACTGTGTGTGTGTGTGTGAGTGTACTTTTTAGACTGTTGGAGGAGCATCTAAAATAGGTAGTCTATTTATACTCAGCTGCTATCTATGTTAAGAGCTGTCCAGCACTGAAATGGAGTGCATTACGTCCCTCTCTTCTCTTCCTCTTTTTTGTCCTTTCCTCTGCACTGTTAACCCTTACAAATACCTCTTCTTTCTTTCTTACCATACTCTCCTCTTCTGTGGACTGTACCCAGCCAGAGACAACACACCCTGCTCTGGCTTGTACTCACCTCTATTCTCTTGCATTTGGTTCTGGAACACACACACACACACACACACACACACAAACACACACACACACACCAGCTAATTAATTAAACCTCCTGCTTTAATTAGGGTTTTAATCAGTTGCCATGGGAACCTTGGCCCTTTAGAATCTAAAGTCAGACTAAGTACACACGTACGCACGCACACACAAGCACACGCAGGCAGAGAGACAAATATAATATAAATAAATAGCATAGAATTACATAGAGTAGAATAGAGTAGGCTGTATTTTTTAAAGTATTGTTGAATCCTCCCTGGCCTGGTCCTGCATTAAACAGACTGAAGTCTGTGGTTTCATTAGTCATTATCAGGATATTCAGCACATTATCATTAGTCTTCAGTCTGTTCAGGAGAATGAGAGTGTAATCTGTGTCTCTGAAAACGGCCCCAAAGCAAGGTCATGTCTTAAGCAGTCACTCATTCAACTGTAGGCCTACAGACCATCAACAGACAAGCTCTATCAATATCTGCCCTGTAGTCGCCTACCCCCTAGCGGCTAAACACTACCTCTGGAAGGTTTGGAATTTAGGAAGCAATTCAATAGAACGTATCACTTGTATTCTACTGTATCTGCATCACAATGTACAGTAGCCTATCTCAAGCCTATCCATGGACAAGCCAACAAGCGACTGTAACTACCTCGATGTTGTTTTTATTACGGTGCAATGAATGAGTGCTGAAAAATATAAACTCATTATGGATTGCTGTAGCGCAGGACTGTGGTAAGTGTCGGTCCTTCCAGACAACTTGGCGACATTGTCCATTTGGTTGTTGCTGGTAGTGCTACAGTACTTGTTAGTTACAATGTAACAAACAGTCGCGTGTTGCTGCTACAATGTAACCACAATGTGAAGAAGTAGAGAAGTTCCCACGTGTCGCGTATTTCTGCCCAATCACGATGGTTCAAAGTTCCCGTAATCACGCCCCTGGGTGTGTCTGCCTTTTTTCGGAGCAATCAAATATTGTAATGTTGAAACGCTCTTAGTTTTCGACGAATCAAGGCGCTCCTTATTGCAAAAGGATCACCCTAACGGGAAACATTAGGTGCCCTCCTGATTACAAGAAGCAAGGTATGGAAACATCGCCGGGGCCAACGCTATTTCTTTAGCTGTCAAATTTGACCAAGCATACGTGTCATTTCTAGGACATAGAGCCAATTTGAAGTATACGTTCGTGCAGTAGAAAAGTTGGGCGGGGTTTGACACGTATTTTGTGAGTCGCTAGCCTAGAAAAGTCTAAGGCTTTTTGATAGACTGTTGTCGGTCGATCATGGTGAAGTAGCCTGTAGCCTGCCAGCTGTGTGTTACTGTATCTTACATTTTATTGCCATTTTGTAACCGATGTCTCGCTTGCTACAGTTTGCTACTAGCGGTATAAGTTGTCTGACTTACAGTGCTGACTGAGCCTATAAAAGCCCGCAGTGAGTCGAGCCGGGGAAGGTGTAGTGTAAGGCACTGGGGGACAGTTTTTTTTTTTTTTTTTGCTGACACACAGCTGAATACGGGCGAACAAACCAGGCAGGCGTTGGGTGAATAGATGTATTGTCGCCTCATCCCTCCCTCTCTCATCCCTCCCTCTCTATCTCCCTCTACTTGGGCGTGAACTGTCATTGCATCTGTTGACTGTGTCTGGCATGATCATAAGATTTTGACAGCTGATCAAACTAATAAATAGATGTTTGCTTCACAGAGTCTTACTTTCAATCACTGTCATTTATTGCACTTCTTGACAGACATGTCATTAAAATAAAATATTCGCAGGGTAGCCTGGCTTAAGCAAATCTTTTAAATTAATTGAAATCCAGCCCATCACCATTGCTGTCCTTAGAGTGACGCGCTGTGTCACAGTGTTGGCCAGTAGAGCAGGGCTATTCAGCTCCAGACCTGCAGGGCCCAAAGCCCTTTGGTTGTCATCCTTCCCTGCTAATCAGGGACTGAGTCAGACCTGGCACACAAGGTGAGTGGACGCTGCCCAATCAGTCACATGAATCAGTCAATTAACTTCCAAGCAGAGAAGAGTCCCTCTAGACCTGGAGTTGAATAACCTGTCTATAGAGTAGGCCTATTGGTTTCCCAGTGTCCCATTCACCGTGGCTCGCTGTTGTCGCCCCACAGTACCAGAGTGTCATCGCTGTTCAGAATGCCACAGACCAACAAGTCCAGAAGTGCCTCGGCCAGTGGCTCTAATACCGGACCGGGCCGAGGGGAGGAAAGAGGAGGAGAAAGAGAGGCTGAGCAAGAGCCAAGGGTCCAAGTACAGGAAGCAGGGGATGGAGGAGGAGAGGAGAACACTGGAGACCCAGAGATCATCAAGTCCCCTAGTGACCCCAAACAGTACAGGTAACATCAAAGTTTACCTTACACACCAACGTGTGTGTGTGAGAGAGACTGTGTGTGTGTGTGTGAGACTGTGTTTGTCTTTCTGGCTCTCTTTCCATCTGAATTTCTGTCTGTCTGTGAGACTCTGTGGGGTGTCTCGGGGCGTAACAGGTCACATGTAGGCCAAGGAGCGGTGTAAACAGGACATCCTGCTGTCATTTAAAACCAACTGAAGCACACAGTAAACAGTAAACAGCTGGAGGGCCAAACTGTGTGTGTGTGTGGTTGTGTCAGCATCTTAGAATAAGAGAATAGTGTTTACCTCTGTCTAACCCCTCCCACAGGTACATCGAGCTGACCAATGGGCTTCGAGTTCTGCTCATTTCAGATTTCACTGGTCCCGCCTCCTCTGGAGATGACGAATCAGAGGAGGAGGAGGAACTGGGGGAGGAGGAAGAGGAGGAAGAAGACTCAGGAGAGGGAACAGAGGAAGAGTCTGACGAAGAGGAGGATGACAAGGACAGTGACTTTGAGGATGACGAGGATGGAGGGAAGAGGAAGAAGGGACACTCAGAGAAACAGGTGAGAGGGAGAGCTGGAGATTAGGGCCCAGAGTGACCTGAACAGGAAATAATAGCGCATTAGCAGCAATAGTAATAAGGATATTGATTATTGTTTGATTGTTTGTTTATGTGTGTGTGTGTGTGTGTGTGTGTGTGTGTGTGTCAGTCTGCAGCAGCGCTGTGTGTGGGTGTTGGCAGCTTCAGTGACCCCAATGACCTCCCAGGCCTTGCCCACTTCCTGGAACACAGTGAGTATGATGACCCCTGACCCTTAAGGATGAGATTGTTTGTTTTGTTGTGATAAATCTGATGCAATGCTGTGTTTGTGACACGAGGGGATATCAAAATACTTTCCTCTCCTCCCTCTCTCCTCTCCTCCTCCTGTAGTGGTGTTCATGGGCAGTGAGAAGTACCCGTCAGAGAATGGTTTCGATGCCTTCCTGAAGAAACATGGGGGCAGCGACAACGCCTCCACGGACTGTGAGAGAACCGTCTTCCAGTTCGACGTCCAGAGAAAGAAATTCAGAGAGGCTCTGGACAGGTCAGCAACACACCATCATTATAGTCTCTGTGTCTTGTCTCTTGATTCGGATTGGTCTATCTGATTCTATCCATGTCTCTGATTGGTCCCTCTGTCTCTGTACCTGTCTGTGATTGGCTCTCTCCAGATGGGCCCAGTTCTTCATCTGTCCTCTGATGATCCGAGATGCCATCGACAGGGAGGTGGAAGCTGTCGACTCCGGTGAGAAGCATTCTGGGAAATTGTTGCTGTTGTTGTTGACCTTATTCAGACCTTATGCACTGGTTATGTAGTATCCTGCTCCCCCTTCTCACTTTCTCAGAGTACCAACTGGCCAAGCCGTCTGACTCTCACAGGAAAGAGATGTTGTTTGGGAGTCTAGCGAAACCAGGTCACCCCATGGGGAAGTTCTGCTGGGGTGAGGACAGACACATACACACAATTTCATATGTTTGTCTTTGTTTACGTTCTGTTAATTAGAGGCTCCTGGTTAGTCTGGAGAGCCGTCTCTGTGTTGTAGTTTAGAGATGTGATCAATCAATACAACGCTCTGTAGGACTACAAGTCGTTTACTGTGGTTGAGATATCGGCAGTAAGAGACAGGGTGTGTAGAACTGGAGAAGAGAGAATGAGACAATGGAATATTGAGGGGAAAGGGAGAGGATTGAGGAGAGGAGGAGAGAGAATGAGACAATGGAATATTGAGGGGAAAGAATTGAGGAGAGGAGGAGAGAGAATGATCAGAAAGAGGCAGAAGGGGTAGGGAGGAACAGAGAAGGGGGGTTGTAGAGTCGTAACATTCAGGCTGCATCCTCTGTGTTGTTGTGTTACTGCACCTGTTGGACTAGTTCACTACCAGTTGGACTAGTTCACTACCTGTTGGACTAGTTCACTACCTGTTGGACTAGTTCACTACCTGTTGGACTAGTTCACTACCTGTTGGACTAGTTCACTACCTGTTGGACTAGTTCACTACCCAGAGAGAGAGAGATAGAGAGCTTTTGGGTTGCATCTTCTGTGTTGTGTTGAAATATATTGTAAGTATTGCTGTACTGGCAGGACCAGTTTAGACTCCTGACAAACCCCTTTCAGCCCTGGCCTTCTGGAGACAATAGCACTGTGAGGAGAGGCACACACACACCACACAAATACACACACACACACACACACACACACACACACACACACATACACACAGACTAACTACTCTGACTACTGTGTTGCCATGTGTAAACGAGACAGATGTTGTGTTATGGTGGTATGTGACTGAGCTGTTGTCATGGTTTCAGCAGGTAACGCCCAGACTCTGAAGACAGAGCCCAGGAAAAAGAAGATCAACGTTTACAAGAGGCTCCGCTCCTTCTGGAAGAGACATTACTCTGCCCACTACATGACCCTGGCTGTGCAGTCTAAAGGTGACGCACACACACACACACACACACACACACACACACACACACACACACACACACACACACACACACACACACACACACACACACACACACACACGACCCGGCCGTGCAGTCACACATGTAACTCTGTTGTCCTCTGTCGGTTTGTGTGTGTGTGTAGAGAAGCTGGACACTCTGGAGGAGTGGGTGAGGGAGATCTTCAGTGGAGTGCCCAACAAGTGAGTCTCAGCTGTACATAAATCCCTCACCATTCAACCATTCATATTATAATATGGCCATTTAGCAAACACTTACTGAACCCTGTTCCTCAGTGCTCAGCCCAAGCCGGACTTCTCTGAATTGCTGGATCCCTTTGATACTCCAGCCTTCAACAAGCTCTACAGAGGTAGGAACACCTGCTCCATTGAGCTGACTTGTACAGAATTATCTCCTGATCTCCATTAGCACCGTACAGCTTCAGTTCAATTCATCTCAATGCTGTGTGTGTGTGTGTTTCAGTGGTTCCTGTGAGGAAGGTCCATGCTCTGACCATCACCTGGTCCCTGCCTCCTCAGGAGAAACACTACAGGTAAGAAACACAGCTACAGATAACAGCTACTACAGATAGTACAGCTACTAAATATAATACAGCTACTACAGATAATACAGCTACTACAGATAATACAGCTACTACAGATAATACAGCTACTACAGATAATACAGCTACTACAGATAATACATCTACTACAGATAATACAGATAATACAGATAATATAGCTACTACAGATAATACATCTACTACAGATAATACAGCTATATAATACAGCTACTACAGATAATACAGCTATGTAATATAGCTACTACAGATAATACAGCTATTACAGATAATATAGCTACTACATATAATACAGCTACTACATATAATACAGCTATGTAATACAGCTACTACAGATAATACAGCTACTGCAGATAATACAGCTACTGATAATACAGCTACTACAGATAATACAGCTACTACAGATAATACAGCTACTACATATAATACAGCTACTACAGATAATACAGCTACTACAGATAATACAGCTATGTAATACAGCTATGTAATACAGCTACTACAGATAATACAGCTACTGATAATACACTACTACAGATAATACAGCTACTACAGATAATACAGCTACTACAGATAATACAGCTATTACAGATAATATAGCTACTACACATAATACAGCTACTACAGATAATACAGCTACTACAGATAACTAGGTTCTAAATACTCTAGGTACCACATATACACTGCTACAGGTGGTTGACCCTCAGCTGCTACATCCACAGGAACTACAGTTGAGAGATACTACAGTTGATGATGCACCTCTCTCTCAGCCTCTCTGTCTCTGCCTCTCTCCGTCTCTCTCTCTCGCTGCCCCACCACATCCCGCTCTCTCTCTGTCTCTGTCTCTCTCAGGGTGAAGCCTCTCCACTACATCTCTTGGCTGATTGGTCATGAGGGCACAGGCAGCATCCTATCAATTCTCAGGAGGAAGTGAGTCAGAACTACAGCAGACAGGACTACATAACCCATAATGCACCGCTTTACAGCTATGTTTAATGTGGTAACTGTACTTAGGTGCTGAGCTGTGTGTGCGTGTGCGTGTGTGTAGGTGCTGGGCCATGGCTCTGTTTGGAGGGAACAGTGAAACAGGCTTTGACCAGAACTCTACCTACTCCATCTTCTCCATCTCCATCACACTCACTGACGAAGGATTCCAAAACTTCTACCAGGTTGGTACATGCAAACACACACACAGCTATGTCTTACTATACTTGTGAGTATATCTTTTTGGGGACCAACAATTGATTCCCATTCAAAATCCTATTTTTCCTAAACCTAACCCTTACCCTAATTATAACCCTAACCCTAATTATAAACCTAAGCCTAAAGTAGTATTTTTACAAGTGAGTACTGGCAAAATGTCCTCACTTCTCAGAATTTTAGTTGGCTTACTATTATTGGCTCACGTATAGTAAAACGTACACACACACACACAATCTGTGTTTCTCTACAGGTGGCTCACCTGGTCTTCCAGTACCTTAAGATGCTGCAGAGCCTGGGCCCCCAACAAAGGTACATTTTACATTTTAGTCATTTAGCAGACGCTCTCATCCAGAGCGACTTACATCTTTTTTATTTATTTTTCATACTGGCCCCCCGTGGGAATCAAACCCACAACCCTGGCGTTGCAAGCGCCATGCTCTACCAACTGAGCTACACGGGTCTGTGTGTTTAGGGCTTCACTATAGGCATGTGAAATGCAGAATATGTTGTCTATTTATACAGTATATGAGTATCTCTCTCTCTCTCTCTCTCGCTCTCCCTCCCTCTCTCTGCCTCTATGCCTATCACTCTCTCTATGTTTGTAGGATCTACGAGGAGATTCAAAAGATTGAAGCCAATGAGTTTCACTACCAGGAACAGGTAAATACTAGGTTCTATAGGTCCTCTGTTTTTAATGCATTCTCCTCCTATCTACAAGTACAGGAATGAATGCACCCAACCAACCGATGCACTCCTGTGTGTTTCAGACTGACCCTATAGAGTACGTGGAGGATATCTGTGAGAACATGCAGCTGTTTCCTAAAGAAGACTTCCTCACCGGAGACCAGCTCATGTTCCAGTATTCACCTGAGGTACGGTGTGTGTGTGTTTAGGTGATCGTTGCGGCCCTTAACCCTGCTTACTAAGCTAACCTGGTGTGTGTGTGTGCTGTTTAGAGAAGGTGCTTTCTGTGTCCTTAAGTGTCCATGCATAAAAAAACCTTTGAAATGTTTGAATCCTTCTTGAATGTAATGTGATTTGTTGATTCAAATAAAGTATTTATAGTGTGTGTGTGTGTGTGTGTGTGTGTGTGTAGGTGATCAGTGCGGCCCTGTCCTTGCTAACTCCAGACAGATCCAACCTGTTGCTGCTCTCTCCAGACCATGAAGGCCACTGTCCCCTCAGGGAGAAATGGTTTGGGACACACTACAGCGTAGAGGGTGAGACACACACACACACACACACACACACACACACACACACACACACACACACACTTACACGGGCCTACTACAGTGGCTTCAGAAAGTATTCATACCCCTTGACTTATTCCACATTTTGTTGTGTTACAGCCTGAATTCAAAATGGATTAAATACATAAAACATCTCACCCATCTACACACAATACCCCATAATGACAAACTGAAAACATGTTTTTAGAAATTTTAGAAATGTATTGAAAATGAAGTACAGAAATATCTAATTTACAGAAGTATTCACACCCCTGAGTCAATACATGTTAGAATCAACTCTAGCAGCGATTACAGCTGTGAGTCTTTCTGGGTAAGTCTCTAAGAGCTTTGTACACGTGGATTGTACAATATTTGCACATTATTCTTTTTTAAATTCTTCAAGCTCTGTCAAGTTGTTTGTTGATCATTGCTAGACAGCCATTTTCAAGTCTTGCCACAGATTTTCAAGCCGATTTAAGTCAAAACTGTAACTAGGCCACTCAGGAACATTCAATGTCGTCTTGGTAAGCAACTCCAGTGTATATTTGGCCTTGTGTTTTAGGTTATTGTCCTGCTGAAAGGTGAATTTGCCTGTGCTTAGCTCTATTCCGTTACTTTTTATCCTAGTCATGCCGATGACAAGCATACCAATAACATGTTGCAGCCACCACCATGCTTGAAAATATGAAGAGTGGTACTCAGTGATGTGTTCGATTCGGCCCAAACATAACACTTTGTATTCAGGACATAACGTTTATTTCATTGCCACATTGCAGTTTTACTTTAATGCCTTACTGGAAACAGGATGCATGTTTTAGAATATTCTGTATTCTGTATTCTGTACAGGCTTCCTTCTTTTCACTCTGTCATTTAGGTTAGTATTGTGGAGTAACTACAATGTTGTTGATCCATCCTCAGTTTTCTCCTATCACAGCCATTAAACTCTGTTTATTTATATTTTTAACCAATGGTGCCCTTCTTTGCGAGGCATTGGAAAACCTTCCTGGGCTTTGTGGTTGAATCTGTGCTTGAAATGTACTGCTCGACTGAGGGACCTTACAGATACAGTTGAAGTTGGAAGTTTACATACACTTAGGTTGGAGTCATTAAAACTTGTGTTTCAACCACTCCAAAAATGTCTTGTTAAAAAACTATAGTTTTGGCAAGTCGGTTAGAACATCTACTTTGTGCATGACACAAGTAATTTTTCCAACAATTGTTTACAGACAGATTATTTCACTTATAATTCACTATATCACAATAATTCCAGTGGGTCAGAAGTTTACATACACTAAGTTGACTGTGCCTTTAAACAGCTTGGAAAATTCCAGAAAATGATGTCATGGCTTTAGAAGCTTCTGATAGGCTAATTGACATCATTTGAGTCAATTGGAGGTGTACCTGTGGATGTATTTCAAGGCCTACCTTCAAACTCAGTGCCTCTTTGCTTGACATCATGGGAAAATCAAAAGAAATCAGCCAAGACCTCAGAAAACTGGTTCATCCTTGGGAGCAAGGATGTACCACGTTCATCTGTACAAACAATAGTACACAAGTATAAACACCATGGGACCACGCAGCCGTCATACCGCTCAGGAAGGAGACGCGTTCTGTCTCCTAGAGATGAACGTACTTTGGTGCGAAAAGTGCAAATCAATCCCAGAACAACAGCAAAGGACCTTGTGAAGATGCTGGAGGAAACAGGTACAAAAGTATCTATATCCACAGTAAAACTAGTCCTATATCGACATAACCTGAAAGGCCGCTCAGCAAGGAAGAAGCCACCGCTCCAAAACCACCATAAAAAAGCCAGACTACGGTTTGCAACTGCAACCGTACTTTTTGGAGAAATGTCCTCTGGTCTGATGAAACAAAAATAGAACGGTTTGGCCATAATGACCATCGTTATGTTTGGAGGAAAAAGGGGGTTGCTTGCAAGCCGAAGAAGCACGGGGGTGGCAGCATTATGCTGTGGGGTTGCTTTGCTGCAGGAGGGACTGGTGCACTTCACAAAATAGATGGCATCATGAGGAAGGAAAATTATGTGGAAACATTGAAGCAACATCTCAAGACATCAGTCAGGAAGTTAAAGCTTGGTCGCAAATGGGTCTTCCAAATGGACAATGACCCCAAGCATACTTCCAAAGTTGTGGCAAAATGGCTTAAGGATGACAAAGTCAAGGTATTGGAGTGGCCATCACAAAGCCCTGACCTCAATCGTACAGAAAATATGTGGGCAGAACTGAAAAACCGTGTGCGAGCAAGGAGGCCTACAAACCTGACTCAGTTACACCAGCTCTGTCAGGAGGAATGGGCCAAAATTCACCCAACTTATTGTGGGAAGCTTGTGGAAGGCTACCCGAAACGTTTGATCCAAGTTAAACAATTTAAAGGCAATGCTACCAAATACTAATTGAGTGTATGTAAACTTCTGACCCACTGGGAATGTGATGAAAGAAATAAAAGCTGAAATAAATAATTCTCTCTACTATTATTCTGACATTTCACATTCTTAAAATAAAGTGGTGATCCTAACTGACCTAAAACAGGGAATTTTTACTAGGATTAAATGTCAGGAATTGTGAAAAACTGAGTTTAAATGTATTTGGCTAAGGTGTATGTAAACTTCCAACTTCAACTGTATATGAGATGGGTAATGCAAGATATATAAACATTATTACGATAGTATAGAATACAGTATATACCTATGAGACGAGTAATGCAAGATATGTAAACATTATTAAAGTGACTATTGTTCCATTTATGAAAGTGGCCAGTGATTTTGAAGTCTGTATGTAGTCAGCATCCTCTCTGTGCTAGTGATGGCTGTTTAACAGTCTGATGGCCTTGAGATATAAGCTGTTTTTCAGTCTCTCGGTCCCAGCTTTGATGCACCTGTACTGACCTCGCCTTCTGGATGATAGTGGGGTGAACAGGTCGTGGCTCGGGTGGTAGTTGTCCTTGATTAACTTTTTGGCCTTCCTGTGACATCGGGTGCTGTAGGTGTCCTGGAGGGCAGGGAGTTTGCCCCCAGTGATGCGTTGTGCAGACCGCACCACGCTCTGGAGAGCCCTGCGGTTGTGGGCGGTGCAGTTGCCGTACCAGGCGGTGATACAACCCGACAGGATGCTCTCAATTGTGAATCTGTAAAAGTTTGTGAGGGTTTTAGGTGACAGGCCAAATTTCTTCAGCCTCCTGAGGTTGAAGAGACGCTGTTGCGCCTTCTTCACCACACTGTCTGAGTGGGTGGACCATTTAAGTTTGTCAGTGATATGTACGCCGAGGAACTTAAAACGTTCCACCTTCTCCACTGCTGTCCCGTCGATGTGGATAGGGGGGTACTCCCTCTGCTGTTTCTATACTTTCTGAAGGCACTGTTTGTGTTTGCATTATTCGAGGACCAGATCATATCAACATGGTCCCAACATGTAGAGAAAGAGTGTCCTGATAGGTGTCTACTCTCTGTCCAGAAATCCAGCAGGAGTGGAGAGAGCGCTGGAACGGAGACTTTGAGCACAACTCTGACCTGCACCTCCCTGTTGAGAACAAGTTCATCGGTGAGTGTGTGTGTATGTGTGTGTGTGTGTGTATGTGTTGTGAACCTTCCTAATGTGTTTATTTTTTGTGTCTTCCTTCCAGCGACTGATTTCAGCCTGAAGCAGTCTGACTGTCCTGACACTGAGTTGCCAGTCAGAGTAGCGTCCAGTGACCGAGGATGTCTCTGGTACAAGAAGGACAACAAGTTCAACATACCCAAAGGTGTGTGTGTGTGTTAGGGCTGTGACGGTCATGGAATTTTGGATGACGGTAATTGGCCAGCCAAATGACGCAGTCTCTGTAATAATCGTTGGAATAGTATTTTTTTTTAAAATAGAATGGGCGTCCCCATTCAAGTCACTGATGGCATAATGGGTGGACTGGCAGCCATTGCGAGAGTACCCAGAGGAGCAAAGCAGGAATTAAAAGCAGGAACAACTTTATATCAGAGTTGTGCCTGTTGTTCACACACGTATCTGCCCTCTCATTGGCTAGAATGGTCCCACCTGAACGCCTTCCATCTTTGAGGACATGTATTTCTATTGTTAGAGCGGTCACTCCACTATCTTGTCAATATAATCAAAAATCTTTGATTCAACTCAACTGACATTACAAAAAATAAATGTCATTACAAGAGCCACATCAGTTATCATTTGAATCAACATTCTACATTACCATGGACATTATTACATCACAATACAGCCATTGCGAATGTACCCATGAGTTTACCAGTCAAATTGCCAGAGTTAGAGGTTCCAAGTATAGAGATCCTATACAATTATTATTCTAATTCATAATTCTATGGTTCCAAGCCCGTTCTATTCATGTGTCCTGCTGCTGCCTAGGCAACCGAAGACTCATTTGCTACAACCAACACCTTGCTTGTTTCAACTAGGAGCAACAAAGTTTCATCATGTTGTTTAGAGTACATGTTACCGCAGAAATGGACTCAACCGCACAAATTCCAGGCCGTCCCTTCTTCAGTCAGCTGTTCGTTCCCCAAAAACAAAATGTATCACGGTTATTTTATTTTCGTGATGGTTTTCATCCATTTGGTAATTGTGCCAGCCCTAGTGGTCTGACTGTGGTTCTCTGTAGCTCAGCTGGTAGAGCACGGCGCTTGTAACGCCAAGGTAGTGGGTTCGATCCCCGGGACCACCCATACACAAAAAAAAATGTATGCACGCATGACTGTAAGTCGCTTTGGATAAAAGCGTCTGCTAAATGGCATATTATATTATTATTATTATAGTGTGTGTGTGTGTGTGTGTGTTATAAAGTAGTTAGTTTTTTAAACAATCTTGCCTCAATGTCCACATGTTCTCTTAAAGGAAAATTCCACCCCAAAACGTTTTTTTGGTATTTGTTTCATTAGTCCATTGTTGATATAGTTCAAAATGTTTTCCATGTCAGCAGTTTATAGCTTTGAAAATAGAGAAATACAGCAGGCAAAATGCATCATACCGGCTGTATTTCTGTATTTTGATTATATATCTTGAAAACATGATTGCTGACATGCAAAACATTTTGGGACTATATCGACAAAGGACTAATGAAACAAATACCAGAAGATAGTTTTTGGGTTGAGTTTTGCTTTAACAGTGAACAATTAAAATGGTCAATAGCTATACTATTACATTGATCTTTCATTTATTCTCTCTCTCCTCCATTGATCTGTCGTTTCTACTCTCTCTCCGTTGATCTGACGTCTCCTCTCTCTCCGTTGATCTGACGTCTCCTCTCTCTCCTTCAGCGTACATCCGCTTCCATCTCATCTCTCCGGTCATCCAGCAGTCAGCCAAGAAGTAAGTCCAGGGTTTAGTTAGCCATTAGCCAACAATTGTTTCACAGGTAGAGATTGTGCTAAAATCGTTAGCCTCTCGAGAATGCAGCCATAGCTAGGAACAGTTTTTCACAGTATTTTAATCCTGTTTCTCTCTGCTTATCTCTCTCTCTCCACTCTCTCTCATCCCCAACCCCCCTTCCCCCCTCTCTCACTCCCTCCCACCCCTCTCTCCACCCACACCTTCCTCTCTCTCTTTCACCCCTCCCTCTCTCTCTCTCTCTCCCCTCCCTAGCCTGGTGTTATTTGACCTGCTAGTGAACATACTAGGTCATAACCTAGCAGAGCCAGCCTACGAGGCTGACGTGGCCCAGCTGGAGTACAAGCTGTCAGTAGGAGAACACGGACTGGTTATCAAGGTCAAAGGCTTCAACCACAAACTGCCTGTGAGTTAGACACAGACACACTGCACCGCACGCCACACCACACACACTGCACCACACTCACACGATGATGATGATGGTGGTGTTGGTATCTTCCTCCTCTGTAGCTCCTGTTCCATCTGATCCTGGACCATCTAGCTGACTTCTCTGCCTGTCAAGATGTCTTCAGTATGTTCTCTGAGCAGCTCAAAAAGACCTACTTCAACATCCTCATACGACCTGAGAAACTGGGCAAGTACGTCACGTGTGTGTGCAGCGGGGGTGGGGGGGTCTGTTTGTATGTGTGTGTCCCAACTCATCATTTTCTTCTCTCTCCACCCCCCCCACCCCCCTCCCTCCTCTCTCTCTCTCTCTCCCCCCTCCCTCCCTCCTCTCTCTCTCTCTCCCTCTCTCTCTCTCCCCCCTCTCCTATCTCCGTCTCTCTCCCTCCTCCCTCCCTCCCTCCCTCCCTCCCTCCCTCTCTCTCCCTCTCTCACACTAAACACACACTCTCAGGGACGTGCGGTTGTTGGTCCTGGAGCATGGTCGCTGGTCCATGGTAGAGAAGTACCAGGCGCTGACAGACGGTGGTCTGACTGTAGAAGAACTGATGGAGTTCAGCAGAACCTTCAAGACCCAGCTCTATGCAGAGGGACTGGTGCAGGGGAACTTCACTAGCCAGGTGACTGGACCATGAACACACACACATTACACACCCTTTCCACCAAACCCTCTTGTATAATTTCTGATGTTGTGATCTGTTTTCTCTACAGGAGTCAATCCAGTTCCTGCAGTACGTCACTGAGTAAGTTTATACACACATGCATGCACGTGCAGGCACACACATACACACACACACACACACACACACACACACACACACACACACACACACACACACACACAACTATCTTTATTGTAATCTCTCCCTGTCCTCTGTCTGTCTGTCAGTAAGCTGCAGTTCTCCAAGCTGCCAGCAAAGGTCCCTGTGTTGTTCAGAGTGGTAGAGCTGCCTCTGAAACAGCACCTCTGTAAGGTCAAAGCACTGAACAAGGGAGACGCCAACTCCGAGGTCACAGTCTACTACCAGGTACACACAGTCACACACTGGTACAATTCATCTGTTCATGACTCGCCTGTCATTCATTCACTCTATTCTCTCTCTCTCTCTCTCTTTCTCCAGTCTGGTCCTAAGAACCTCAGAGAACACACACTGATGGAGCTGTTGGTGGTGAGTACACCAACAACCATTCATCCTTTCATCTCCTAACCCCTCATCCCTTCTTCCTCTGACCTCTGTGTTGTTGATATTGTTGTCGTTCCAGATGCACATGGAGGAGCCCTGCTTTGACTTCCTCAGGACCAAAGAGACTCTAGGGTCAGTGTCTGTCTTTCACTCTTCTCTCTCTCTCTGGTTACTAAATAGCCCATGGAACCTATGGAAAGAGTAGGAGTGTTAACCCCCTTCCTCAGTGTCCCAACCTTCCTCAGTGTTCCAACCTTCCCAGTGGCCCAACCTTCCTCGGTGTCCCAGTGTCTCAACCCTCTCCAGCTTCCAATTGGCTCTGTCAACTTAACCCTCTCTCTCCTTCTCTCTCCTCCAGGTATCATGTTTATCCAACCTGCAGAAACACGTCTGGAGTCCTGGGCTTCTCCGTCACCGTGGAAACACAGGCCACCAAGTTCAAGTGAGATCCTCATACTTACTGTATGAACCAATGACTGCAGTGATTTTGATGTGGCCTTCCTGAGGCTAGAAGTACTATCTCTTAGGACCTGTAAATGCCTTGTCTCTTATAGCAATGACAGTGGTCTCTCTCTGTCTCTCTCTCTGTCTCTCTCTCTGCCTCTCTCTGTCTCTCTCTCTCTCTCTCTCTCTGTCTCTCTCTCTCTCTGTCTCTCTCTTTCTCTGTCTCTCTCCATCTCTTTTCTCCATCTCTCTTTCAGTACTGAGCTGGTAGAGTTGAAGATAGAGGAGTTTCTGTCTTCCTTTGGAGAGAAGTTGAGTGCTCTGACTGAGGATGCCTTCAACACACAGGTGTGTGTGTGTGTGTGTCTGAGTATATATGTCTTACACAGATGAGTTTACTTGTTAAGCTGAAGGTGTGTGTGTGTACAGGTGACTGCGCTGGTCAAGCTAAAGGAGTGTGAGGACACACACCTGGGAGAGGAGGTGGACAGGAACTGGGCCGAGGTGGCTACACAGCAGTATGTTTTCAACAGGCTTCACAGAGAGGTGAGATACACACACACACACACACCGGACAATTCCGTTTTTCAGTTTTTCTGGTGTGTGCAGAATTTGACATTTTCTGTAGTTGCTGCAGACGTTTCATGTATTTCATGTGTGACTGTGTGTGTGTTTGTGTGCTTATGTGTGTGTGTGTGAGTAGATTGAGGCCCTGAAGCAGATGACCAGAGCAGAGCTGGTATCCTGGTATCTGGAGCACCGCGGACACAACTGCAGAAAACTCAGTGTACATGTAAGTGTGTGTGTGTGTGTGTGTGTGTGTGTGTGTGTGGGTGAGCAATGTAATCCATGTTTAAGAGCTGTGTGTGTGTGTACTCTACATCGACCTAGGTGGTGGGTTTTGGGCCGGAGGAGGGCGACCCCCCTGGAGATGACAAGCAGAGTCGTCATGGCAACGGAGAGAGGGATGAGGAAGAGTGTGGCAGTTCGTCCTACGGAGAAGTGTCCAAACTGACCTTCCTCCCCGCCTCGCCCAAGATGGCCGCTACATCCATCATGGACATTCCTTCATTTACCCAGAGCCTTACCCTCTTCCCATACCACAAGATCATCCAATAGACTACCAATATCTATTTTCTCAATATTTCTTTCAAACTCTCTCTCCTTCATTGCCTGACCATAACATCATCTAATAAACTCAATGAGATACACCATCACTGTCTTTGGGGCTGACTCTCTTTATCACACACTGGGGCGCAACTTTCACATGTCCCCCACACATTCTGAAATTGCAATATATCACAGCTTCTTGTTCATTACTATAATATCTCATAAGGCTTTAAAACTGCACCTCTATAAGGTGCTATGCATGTTTATCAGGCAATATAACACTTCACAAGTGCATTTAGTAGGGTTACAACACTTTCTATGAATACAGTATGTAGTATACCTCTAATGGAGAATGCTTTAATGGGATGTCCTATCTCTGCATAATGTATAGCTTATGTAGACTTGTTATAAGCATTCATAAGCTCCCTGCAACATTCAGGTAAGGGTCAAACATGGACGTGTCCTGGCCTGTCATATTCAACATGTCTCTCACTGCAGTCACCCTCCTCTCACACGACACACTAGGAATCAAAGATGATCTACACACAGTTGCATTAGATTTGTTTTCAGCCAAACAAACTATTTTGTGTTTGGAATGCCACTGGTAAATCAGTTGGTGCTATTGACTTATAGAGTCAGGTGTGAGTACGCTGGTGTTCCTTTAAGTGCCCTGACCGACTGAAACTTCCCACACTGGGAACAGTGATATGGCCTCTCTCCTGTGTGAGTACGCTTGTGTGTCTTCAAATTACATATCTGTGTGAAACTCTTCCCACACTGAGAGCAGTGATATGGCCTCTTTCCTGTGTGAGTATGTTGGTGTACCTTTAAGTCTCCTGATCGACGGAAACTCTTCCCACACTGAGAGCAGTGGTGAAGTCTTGGCTTCCCTGTGTCTCTGTGTTTCTGGGTGGGAAGTGTGATGGGGGTGCGATCTGAAGTTGTTGAACACAGCTGAGAGCCACTGGGTGGTGCTAGTGTCTGTGATCTAATCCCTCCACTCCTCAGCAGCCTGACGTACTCTTCCCTGTGGCATCTCTTTATGTGCTTGTAGAGGGAGATCTGAGCCGTGAAGGAGAACAGACAACCAGAGCAGGAAAAGATCTGAGACTGGAACGACTCATTCACACCTGAAAGGAAGAGGGAGGGAGGGAAGGAGAGAAACGGAAGGGGTGTTCCGAGAGGTCAAAGAGAATAGCAAGCTTGACAGAGAACTGAAGGGGTGTTCCGAGAGGTCAAAGAGAATAGCAAGCTTGACAGAGAACTGAAGGGGTGTTGAGAAAGGTCAAAGAGAATAGCAAGCTTGATAGAGAACTGAAGCAAATACTGAAAGAAAAAGAAAGACTGATGATATCATTATATTCCACTTCACTTGAATAGAGAGATGGCAAGAGAGGGAAAATTGAACAGGTAGTTCGAGAGCAGTGGAGGTCACTAATATTTCTGGGGGAGACACTTTTCTGAAACAAACTCACTGGGTAAGCCGCCATAGCCAACTCATCGGAGAATGGGAGTTGGGGGGTCGCAAAGTCAAATTGATTCATATAAATTACATGCTATTTAGAATACTATTAACATGGACCATGAAGCTATTTGATTCACAATTTCTGTACACTTGGGGGTATCATTATCTCAATAATAGCACACAAATATGTCAAATCAGATAATGCCAAATTTCAGTCTGAAGGAAGTATGTTTTGGGGTGATTGAAATGCATCACAAAGGTATTGGAAAGTTCAGGAAAACATTAGGGATGCTCATCAAGCAATCTGTGTGTATGGTCTTCTGTGGATAATCCATTTACTTCCACTAGTCATTCAGTGCAGATACATTCACTTCACTCTGCCTTCTAACAAGGCCTGTACAGCCTGTGTGCGTCGTAGATGGAAACAGACGATACGTGTTCCTGAGTGTCTTAGCTTTCAGGCATGGGGTCATAGTTGCTAATAGCGCAAGCTAACCCATTTCG